AACCAAAAAAAAAACAAAAAACAAAAACAGAATAACAGAAAAGAAAAAAAAGCATTAAGGCTTCCACAGCCCAATTTCAAGTTTCCTAAAAACAGGTAGCAGTAAGAACAACCCAAATACACACTACCCAAAAGGCTGAAGGCCTTAGAACCCAAGAGTGAAGTTGGAAGCTATGAAACTTATCATCATAAGAGGTAGAAGACAAAAATGTGGCCTCTTCTTCGTCTTCTCTTTTTCTTAACATTGGATGTATATTTAAAATTTGTCGAGGCACATCAAGGACTTCAAAAGCCAGAGATACCTCAATTAAACTCTGTAAGCCTAAGCCTAAATTGACATATATCTCAATATGAGAATACAAATTACCCTGCAATTTCCAATACAACCTACCACAAGCCTACTTTTTTTGGAGCAGGGATGTGAAATCTTTTGCCCGGGTGAACACAGTACATTCAAAGAAGCCAAAAGGGAAGGGCAAGCCAAGTGCCAGGAGATATAAAAACGATGCAGAGAAATAGGATAGAACTGGGAGGATAAACAATAAAAAAAAATAACAAAGTAATGCCCAAACTTTAGGATGCCAACACTATCCGAAAAGGAAAAACAGAAACATGTTAAAGAGAAACCAAATACTATGGAAATGTGAGCATTTCAACTTCAGCATAAATAAGACCATAGTACACCCAGCTGAACCAAAAGTATTCCATTGCTTTCCTTTAGTAGACCCCATCTATGCTAAAAGTTATCATCTTACACATTGTCTTGCATCTTACCAATCCCTCACTCTTCTCAACTAGCCAAAATCTCCACATCATTTGCTGGCATTTTTTAAGATAAGATGGATGGAACTTTTGAAGAGCTAAATGATTAACATTATCTCACAGAAGGTAATTGACTAATTCTTATTGAATGCACCCTCTCAAACATCCCCATTTCCTTTACGCACTTTTTCCCATTTTTTCTTGGTAGCTTAAAGAATTGAAAAAAATCAATAAGAAGTTTCTTGAGGGAGTGGCTGACGAATATATGTTCCGTTTAGTTAACTACAGTGTGGTCAAACAAACAATAGATGCTGATGGCTTGGAATCAAATCTCTTATCTCCTTTTTTATCAAGTTATTCCTCCAAAACAGCAATGGAGATCTATGGTGAAACGAAAAAAAAAATCTTTGGAGTTCTAGGGTTGCAAACTACAAAGACACACATAAGGGTTGGATTTACAAGGAGACAAGGTAACTCTGATAAGTTTAGAAGTGGATTAAAAGGGATGGCACAACTTCTTAGTACACGTTTCCTTTGAGGTGGGGAGTGTGCATTCTAACTCTTTTCTGTATGTGTTTGCTGTAGGCATTAACCCTCGAAAGATCAATTATAGGAGTTATTTATGTTCACAAGAGATAAAGAGACCTTAGATAGCCAATGTCCACATCTAAAGGGCAGTTGATATATAATGTTCATGTTTTAAGAAACATGCAAGATCAGAAGCTTTAGAGTTTCATCAATTTCTTTGATCAATTTGTAACTAGATATGGATTGGGAAAAGAGAAGACTCACCTTGATGGAGACTCAAGAAAAAAGGAAGCTTTGAGGTGAATTTTTTCTATCAACAACTCACGAAGGATAATACTAAAAGATGTACTTCCTCTGTCACATATATAATGCCTGATTTTGAGTTTGCACAAAGTTTAAGGAATGTTAAGTTCAATAAATTTCATTGACTATAAATTTTCTTAACAAAATTACCCTTGACTTGAAAAAAGAGAAGAAAGTAGTTATAGTTAAAGGTAATAAGGAAAAGTAAGAATGATTTTTCTTTACCTTTTCAAAGGAGAAATTAATTTGGGACAACTAAAAGTACACAATCAAGAAAGTATTTATAGGACAGAGGGTGTATTACATATTATTAGAATCATTTTGGAAGACAAAGGCCCCAACTAAGGGAGCCTTTTTTTTTTTTTTTTGCTGCTTGTGTCGCATCTTGTGGAAGACATCTAAAAAGTGGAAACCTCCAAAAGCAGGGAAATTTCTTCCAAAGAGATGCTTTCTCTGTAAAACTGAAGCAGACCAAGTCGATCATCTTTTGTTGAGTTGCTTTTAGGCAAGACAGCTTTGTTCCTTGGTGAATGAACTGCTAGGAATTACTTAGATAATGAAAGGTTCAATTAAAAGTGGGGTGGCTTGGAAAAGCATCAATTCTTGTGCAGATAAGAAAAAAAGTGATAAAATTAATTCTTTCAGCTGCTTTTTGGATCTTGTAGATAAGTTGCTTAGCAAGAATTAGCCTTGTACAATGATGCATTGGTGCCTTTAGTGTAACATTTTCTTCATTTATCCAAATGTATAGATACACACACACGTCTTGACTAGTTCCAAGACTCCCTCATCACTTGATAATACTAAATACCTATTAACTTCAAATAAATATTGGAATGTTCTTGTTACTAATCTAACCTTCAAATGCAATAGTTTCCCCCCTTTTTAAATTATTAATGAAAAAATATGGATAGGTACAAAATTCAGAGCAACTAACAGCACAAATGTTACATGTTTATATTTAAAAACCAATGTATTGAAATGTACATATATACATGTCTACATATGCATATGCAAGTACCAACATATACTATGCATTTTTATGTTGCCAAGAACAGCAAATATCTGACCTCGTGAATAGAACTGATATTGCTGTACAAGAAGCAACCTTCACAAGTTGAGAATCTGCTGGAGACTGTTTGGAACAAAGGATATGACATGCCAGGTCATGTTACATTTAAGAACATATTAAGATTTGTAACAAAATATGTGCACACCACATAATACAATTAAATGTTAAAACAAATCCAAGATTTCAAAAAATTCAAACACAATCCATGATCATTAACTGCAAGAACTTCACAGAATAAAAAACAAATCATGATTCATTAGCATCAACCCTACAAACTTCAGAGCTAACCTGCTACCTTCTACTAACACGTAATCCAACAAAAATCCGAACCACCATTTGATTTTGATCTCATCACAGCATGACCTACAACTTTTCTCTGTATGTTTGTAAACTAAATAGTGCACTGGTACTCACTTCCTCACAGTAATCTCTTGAATATCATCATCCAAACCTCTTCAACTTAATATAAATATTAGATCCTCAGTCACAGAATGCAACAATTTTTAACCGTGAATTATTGTCTCTCTAAAAGTAGTCCAAATTCAGACGACCACAAATCTTGCAGGTGTCTGCTCAACAGAATTATGGCATTCAAATACAGGATGTGAAATGTACTACCACAAAATTGAAATAACTTCACATGGTAAAACAGCAATGTTTCATAGATCAAAACATGATATCCAGAATTGTACCCAAAAAAATGATACTAGAACATTTCAAAAAATATATATATCATGATAATAAACCACCACCAGCTATCAGAGAAATATGATCACATCAGCAGTCTTTAGAAAATAAATTAAGCAAACACAAATAAACAATAACTCACTTGCAAGAAGTTGGAATAAAGTAGCTAATATATGTAGGCAGAAACAACGGTTATACATGTATTTTATTTAATATACCTGAATATGTGATAGAAGCTTGTGGAGCCAAACAGAGTATGACGACAAAAACCGATCAGAACTGCACTCTTGACAAGTAACCCCAAGCAGACAGATGCCTAACCAACATTTATCTGACTAGAGAGAATTACATAAGATTGAATAAGAGAACATTGGGGGCAATGTGAAACAATTTTGAAGTAGAGGTACGAATTATCATTAAGAATGAACGACAATAAAGTGGAGCTCACTAAATGAATTTAGACACTTTTTCTTCACGAATCAAAGGAATCTCACCATTTAATGGCTTCGACTATTAAAAAAAAATTGTGCATGGATTAGTAAACAAATAAACAGACGGATGCCTTGTCGACTCCCAGCTCAGAATTGGAATCACTGTTTAATTTGCTGCCTTGAAGAACAATGTGTGAAATAACAGACCAAACAGAAAATTCCATTATCACTGACCATTCTTTTTAAACAGGAAAATGAAACGTTGAACCGTATACTATCACATAATGCTATACACATTGCATAATTTCCTTCAAGAAACAACAATTAAAATACTCAAAGATAAAAAAGAAAGAATCGAAATTAACCATATCGCTAGAGAGCAGCAGTAATAAGCGATTGACCCAATCATCGACGGCCGATTTCCAGCTGTGAACAAGCTTTACATCCATGGATTGGGGGTACGATTCTGATAAGAGTCGGTGAGTTTGGACGATAGAAACCACCTTTGACAGCTCAAAACAGCTGCTGTTGAGACTGAGAGGATGCTTCTCGTCAGGAACATATTGTCTCATCAGACTGCGGAGCATCAGAGGCTTCAATCTCACATCGTACATGTTTTTTGATTGCTCAAAGCCCGCCATTTTTTTTGTTCCGGAAATGGACTTCGTTTCTATGGACAAAAAAGAGGAGAAGAAGAAGAAGAAGAAGAAGTTATCTTCATTAGGGTTTAGGGTTTATGTCTTGTAATTAAAACAAAAAGAATACGACAGCTTTAGAAAAATGCGCACATAAGCATCACCCGCTTGGAGAGTTAAAAAACCGGGTCAATTTTTCGGTATAAGGCTACAATAAACCTAAGTTATTGGAATGTCAAATAATAAAATTAAAAAAAATTATAAAAATATAATCAACAGGTTGCCAGATAAATAAAAATAAAACAAAACAATCAGATTTAGAAAAATACATTCATATTAGGATCTGTTCGCTTCGATATAAAATATTTTTTGAAAAACTTTTTCAGAACTTATTATTGTTTAGAAGATGAAAAATTTATTTAAGATGGATAATATTTTATGGATCAACAAGAAAAATACTCATTTAGCACGTAAGATGTCTTACATTTTTTAGAAGCATAACACATTTTCTTGGAAAATAGAAAAATTGTTTTTATACTAAACTTATCATAATAAGTTTGATGAATATTAATATTTAACTTAAAATATTAAAAAATTAAAAATATGAATATTTAATTTTAAAAAAATTAATTTAAAATATTAATATTTAAATTATTCAATAGTTTTAAAATTTAAAAAATATATTTTAATGAAATCATTCAATGCAATTATATTTTTATTTATAAATTGAATAAAGCTTACTAATAATTATAAAAAAAATATTTCACTGATTGTTATTTAATGCATCCATATTTATAAATATAGGTTTTAGATATTTTACACAATTGATGAATATTGATATTTTTATAATGTTATGGTAAAAAAACGATGGGATAGAATTTTTTTTTGAAAAATTGGAGCTTACTTTCATTATAACTAGAATTAGCCCCATGCGTTGCACGCAGAGTAAATAAAAAACATTGAAAGAAGCATGGACAACAAAAAATATAAGCAAAAAAGTTGTTAGAATTGTGACTGCTATGTGGAAAAGTATATTATAGTTGTTTTTTATAGTTGCATGCATTGATTTGTGTCATGAGCCAATCTTGTATTAAACTATGATAGCGTAGAGTTATTAAAAAGATTAAGTCTTTTGTACTTATTGAAGAAATGTCCCTATTTCAAACATTATAATGGCTTGTCGTTATATCTTTAAAAATACTTGTTAAGTCTTTAGGGGGAAAAGACCATTTAGGAAAGGAATGTTCTCATTTCAAGCGTTGTAATGGCTATTAATAGAATACATGTAAAATCTCGTAAACTCTTTATAGGGGATAAGTAGTCGACAAATTGTTGGACTGTCTCACTGGTAAAGGTATGTTTGTGGTAAATCATTTAGGGCTACCCTTATAGCTCGACAATAGAGTGTCTTTGTTACTTAGTAATTATTTTCATATTAATAAAATATTTTTCCTTTTTTATGATCCAATGGTTGTATATATGGCATTTGATATGCCTTAAGATTTTGATGTGCATTCTCTTAATCTAATTTGTTACTATTATTGATGTTTGATCAAATATAATCGAGTATCGATTGACTCGTGTAGAAGCGTCCACTTAAGTGACGCACAGACTATCGCATACTTAAGTGAAAGAGTGTAGTTTGTGACAATTTGCATATATGAAGAAAAATTGAATGCTTATGAATAAAATTTAGATGATTATATGTTGTTTAATTTATAATGTTTGGTTTCATTGTTAGCAATTTAAGCAAAAGTCAATGTTTATAAAACAAAGTTAAGATTATGATCTACTGCTACATTCTTGTATATCTTTGTTCATATACAAAAGTCAACATTTTTAATGTTGAATTCATGATATTGCCTTTAAACAAAAAAATCAGCAGTGTTTCTAACTTATACATCCATTGTGATCCAATTAACAAAATATGAGTGCCCTTGAACAAAATGAGGATTATGATTTGTTGGTGTGTTTTTGTAGATCTTTGTATATACACAAAAGTTAGCATTAGAGTGTTCAATTCATAGTGCTGCCTGTCAACAAAAAATTTAAGGCAATGTTGAGCATAATTGTAAGCAAAGTTCCAAAATTTCTTGCTATTGAGAGGAGATCGAAGAGTCTTCAATAAGGTAGGTCTTTGATGACTGGGTAATTATGAAATCCCACCTTGATGTATGATGTTAAGAAATCCTTAGGCAAGCATGCATGTTTCATGTTTTGATCACTTTAAATAAGTTTTAATCTTGGAAAAAAAATCATGTTTTGATGCATTAAGGTGATTTACAAAGTTTGATGTAAAAAAAAAAATCCAATTGAACAAGTTTTTAATGTTTATTTTTACTTACTAAAGCTTATCTATCGATAAATGCTCTTCATCTATCGATAGATACAATATAGAAAAGTTTTCTTAAAAGAACACTAAAGAAAATCTATGGATAGATGGCTAGATCTATGCATAGATAGCCCCATCTATCGATAAATATCAACCAAAGGGCTTTTTAACAAAGCCCTAAAAGACATCTATCGATAGATGGTCCCGATTTATTGATAAATGATACCGTTTTCAAAAAAATAAAAAAGGCAAAAGTGTATTTTCACACCCTAAACTATAAATATCTTACATCTTTTAAGGGTTTATCATTCTACACCACCTTTCCTCTATTTTTCATTGACCTTAAACCCTTTTAAACCAATTTTTCACCTAAATCATCATTTTTGAATATTGAAAGCTTGGTTTTTACTTTTTGTGAACAAAGTGACATTTTTCAACATCCAAATCTGTAAATCTTGATTTTACGGTTTTGACAATTTTGTTTATATGTTTAAATTTTCTATTGGTTACCAAAACTTAAAGGTTTTGTGATTTTAATTAGCATCAAAGCTCACCTAAGATAAAAATGACGGATTTATGAATTTCGGGCACATGGGTATATATAGAACAATGAACTTAAGTTTGGAAAATTAGTTTTAGAAGAATTTGAATAGATTCGAAAAATCTTAGAATGCTTAGTACTCATTTCCTAGACTGATTATTGATTATAAAACTATTGAATGTTTAGGAATGATCGAGATTCCAAAGGAATTGCTAGAGTCGATTTGTGCTTTGTTATAGAGGTCAGTTTTTCAAGGTGAGTAGGTACATCTTTTCAAGTATTGTGGATACATAAAGTAAGTATATTTTGATTGATTATTTAGCATTGCATGTTTAAAATGACTTAAGTAAAACCTTAGTTTTTAATACCTTTCCAAATGTTTTGAAAAGAAGTTTTCAATGTATTATGTAAGTAAATATATCACTATGTAGTAGTTTTGAATAAGGGGGGACAAGCCCTTTCAAATGATTTCTCTTCAAATTATCCTTCCATGATATGATAAGGTGAAACGACTTGTAAGCATCAAATTATGTGTATGGAGAATGACATCCCTTGATTGATATTGATATGGAAAAATTGTTGATAATAGCCCATATGCATATTGGCTTTGTGATTGTGCATGACGTTGTCCATTGATGTATGAATACTTGTTATTGTGTAAGGTTAATTCAATATAGCTAATGTGTGAATGTTATATTTGAAATAGGTGTGAATGATTTGTGTAAAGGTTGGTGTATACAAGCAAAGCTGAAAGGCCCAAAACTTATCATGCGTGAGAAAAGGATGGTAAATAAGGTAGAGCCGAAAGGCCCTAATCCATCATAAAAATGTCAGGGATGGTATATGGGGCAACATCGAAAGTCCCAATCCATTGAGGCATAGTGATTGACATGGTATATGAGGTGAATATGAGAGATCCTAAACCATAATGTTGATGTTCTTGGAAGAACGGTTGTATTGGTGATGGGAAATTCCACCTATTTGTGAGATAATGCATTGTTTTTATACTATATGCGTATTATTTTGTGTTGAATTAAACCTTATTTTGGGAATGACTATTTACTCACTATTTGAGAATGGAATATGTTATATGGTAGATCCTAGAATTGTATGATTCGAGTAAAAATCTTTATACGCTAGAGAGCGGGATTGAAAAATATAGTATTAACCTTTGTAAGGGAACTAATATCGGTAGCATATAACATCCTTGTTTTTCGTGCATATGATTCCATACATGCTCAATCTTTTGTTTCATAAATGCATTTGTGAAATATGATACTCAATATGAGAAAATGTTGTTAGATTTACAATTAATTCTTTTCCAAGGTTTTAAATGAGCAATCTATTATTATGCAAAAATGCATGCTTATTGCAAATTAATGATTTGTGCTAAAACTCTTCGCCCTTGGAGTCTTTGTCATGGAGTCTTTATCACTCACCTGTTATTTTCCCCTATTTTGTTTTACAGATTAGCAGCTTGCTTGGCTAGGCAACTTATGGAGTACTGATCCTATTCATTCATGGTAGTTGTGGTAGAGCCTTCCTTACAATCTTCAATTGTCATTACACTCAATAGTGTGTCGAGTTGACTTTTTAAACTACTATGTTGATAATGAATTTGATTATGTAAATAAATGTTAAGCTCATAATATAAGTGCATGTGGATAATATGATTATGGTGGATGAACCATAGCAATATACTCTTCGGATGTGTGCCAGACCACAATTGTTATGACATTGTGAATATTTATATGAATGTCATAGAAACCACACTTTACGTTGAAAAGTTTCGTAACATGGTGGACTGGATGGTTTATTTGCATATCCTTAATTGTGAACGGAAATGTATGTGAATGCGATGGATGACTAGCCTATGCATTATTAATTTAGGCTTGCTTGGGCCTAATGGGTTATACCCACATAGGTCCATGTGTCAGTCATGATCTCTCCAAAAAATGAGATGTGACAGTAATCTTGAAGAATATTTTGTCGAGGTAGAAAAAAATTCAAAAGTTAGGTATCATAATAAGTTGGTCAGTTATGGTATCAATGAATCATATATAGGGAGTAACTATAATATATATGCTATTATGAAACCCTATTTCTTAAATGAGATTAAAATTGTAACCTAACTTGGTGAGCTATTAATTTGGTGTTTTTGAACTTAAATTCTAGACTATTTTGACTTACAAATTCATGTTTTGATAACTAAATGTGTTTGATTGAAAGTTGAGGCCTTTAGAGGG